AGAGTTGGTTTTGACCTTTAACTTGAAGAGTTGGTTTTGACCTTTAACTTGAAGAGTTGGTTTTCAACTTTAACGTAAGTTTCCTAATATCGTAATGCTAACCTGTATCTATGTGAAATTCTAGAAAAACTTTAGATGTGATTGAGGCTAAAAACTACTGTTATTCGTAACTGAAAGTTTGCAGCACTTCTGAAATTTCACTATAAACATAGGGTTAATCTCATTTTATAATGATTGCGTACGCTAATATAATGGCATATGGCCCACAACGGCATGTTTGTCATTCAGTTCATAGCAGATTTCTAACCATTCGACTCTACGTTACAGGTAGACTTACGACTTGGTCTGATGGTTAGTGTGCTGGACTGTGAACCTGGAAGTCCATGAATGCCGCAAGTTTGCATTTTTGGAGACGTGAGCGCGTTGTAAGAATGACTATCAAATTCCTTTATTCAATTAGATTAGGCAATATTTGGCGATGGGTGCTGTTGACTGTCTGCCATCTTTCTTGCCTATTAGTTCGAAAGTTGAAAGAACGGCGGGTTTTTTTTAGCTTTGTGTGAATATGTAATACAAACAAAAGACCTATAACTGGAGGAATATGTCTTAGGTCTTTCTGAAGAGAAATATTCATTTAACAAGATTGTTAGACAAAAGCAAACAAAAAACCCAACAATTCAAAGAAGCGTAAAAAAATCGGACTTCAGAACATTTATGAAAGCAACATTGTTCGAAAACGCATCCAAATCATTCCTGAGTAACCTCTTTATACGCAAAGTAAAGCCCATGTTTACGAAAGAGAACCCTCCGATCCAACACATCATTGCAGTGAATCTGGTCATATCTCCTAATACTTTTAACAAGATAAACGAGTATTTGAATTTGCCAGATACTCATAAGTCTCCAATGATATTTCAGAATCAATTTTTCAGAAGGATGCTTGAAGAAATTAAAATAATATGTCAAACTCCTGATGCAGGTCCAATGGACATGCGTTGTTTGGTCTTCATAATTATGATTATAGAAGCTGACTCCTACGTACAGTTGAGGTTTTTAGTCAAGATGTGTGGTCTGAGTTTGACCTCACTATTTCTCGCAGAAGTTTGTTACAATATTGCGATGTGAGGAATAAACTATGCAATCATGGGCATCCGATTAACAATTTACGACAGAGGAAGTAGTTCTTAGAGCAACAGGCTAGGTATGGCCAGGTGGTTAGGGCGCTTGACTCGCAATCTGAGGGTCGCGGGTTCGTTATAATGTTACGGTCAATCCCACTATTCGTTGATAAAAGAGTAGCCCAAGAGTTGTAGATGACTAGTTGCCTTCCCTATAGTCTTTCACTGGTAAATTAGGGACGGCTAGCGCAGATAGCCCTCGTGTAGCTTTGCGTGAAATTCAAACCAACCAACAAAGAGCAACAAGGAACCTAGAAAATCGTTTTTGTAGAATATAATTAACCTTACTGTACTTCATTTTGAGGGAGGTGGGGCATGTTAATACTTTTACTCCACGTGATTTAGGATATTAGGTTTTTTAATTATATTCTTACGATGAAACGTCTTGTCTCATTTGAGATTACTCAGTTCGAAGTGTATAAATTAGAAGTGGTATAAGATATAACTTATATTTTTTGGATTTTATCATTCTCGATAAAATTTATTTTGCATGTGACACATTTTTTTGGTCATTATAACAAGATGTTCTGTGGGTCAGCGGGAAGATTAGGTATGAACTTACAACGCTAAGATGTGGTGTTCGATTATCCGTGGTGGACAGCCCATCGTGTGTGGCTTTGTGCTAAAACGACAAAACATTCACTGATGATGGCTGGACTTCTTAAATTAATCACGACAATCCTTGATGAAATTTTTTGAGCGTGTTGATCTTCAGTTAAACATATTTATTCGACATTCAGCTTGCCTTGAGTAATACATGTACGTGCATAGGGAAGTAATTTATGTATAACGAATAATAATTTATCATCATTCCCTCCTCATATCGTTATGATTCGCAACAAATTGTGCTAGTTTAACGTGTCAGTAATTTTTAGGGCATGAATGCAGTATGGGTTACCTTACAAAAATTTGAATACGTATAAAATCAATGGGTTTTGAATGTCAACTGTCGTACGAATAAACATGTATTAACAACTTGTGCCCCAGAAAAAGAGATAAAAGGAAAAAAGTACGCTTGTTTCCTGTTGTGATTGATTTTCCGGACGCCACTTGGCGTCGTGTTTATTATTTTCACAGCCTAGTGACGTTATAAAACGTTTTATAAAAGGTGATTATTGGAGATATCTAACCACCCACCTCAAACTTGATTTGTTTAGTTAAGATAAGTTATCCGAACTTCTCAAAGCGATTAGTAAATCATTGCGTTGATGGGGTTCAAGAGACTTTCTTTACTTTTATCTAAGCCCCAGTTAGATCACTGTTCGTGTTTCAAAAGTAGTAATTATCTTTCTTTTTTTGTAAATGTTTCTCAAAAGACACATGCGTCTTTGGCGTGATTTCCATATAGTTTTACCAAATATTAATTATTTTATTTGTTCCACTGGTGTGTGTGTGTGTATGACTTACGTTGCTATTAGTTCTTATCTTTTGTTCACTTGAAGGCGTTCTACCTGTGGTGTGTGACACAACTTTTGTCTTGAAGATGTTCTACCCGTGGTGTGCCACATAACCTTTGTCTTGAAGGTATTCTACCCGTGGTATGCCACATAACCTTTGTCTTGAAGGTGTTCTACCCGTGGTGTGCCACATAACCTTTGTCTTGAAGGTGTTCTACCCGTGGTGTGCCACATAACCTTTGTCTTGAAGGTGTTCTACCCGTGGTGTGCCACATAACCTTTGTCTTGAAGGTGTTCTACCCGTGGTGTGCCACATAACCTTTGTCTTGAAGGTGTTCTACCTGTGGTGTGCCACACAACCTTTGTCTTGAAGGTGTTCTACCCGTGGTGTGTCACATAACCTTTGTCTTGAAGATGTTCTACCTGTGGTGTGCCACATAACCATATGTTGTTATTACCTAAGCTCATCATTATAAATTGTTATTGCACAAAAGTTTCTACTCATCTTTATGTTAATTGATGCAATATTATAAACATCAGAGTGCAACAACGTTTCCAGAGTCTGAATAGTCATATCACCATTTTTTTTCTTGTAGGAAAACTGTGATCTACTCTTTAGGCCAGTGGTAATACAGAATTGGGATATCGCAGAGTATTACATTTCTAGTAGTTGTACTGGGGATATTAACAAAGAACAACAAAAAATATTTATTGTTACTGGACAAGTCGTGTGTTCTACATAATTTCAAACATCTGCCTGGATATCGCAGAGTATTACATTTCTAGTAGTTGTACTGGGGATATTAACAAAGAACAACAAAAAATATTTATTGTTACTGGACAAGTCGTGTGTTCTACATAATTTCAAACATCTGCCTTCACTGACAGATGGCAGCTGCTCTGCGCTTTTGACGAAATAATTATAAGAAACTTGAAATATTATTCTGAATGTTAAAGAAATTACTTTAAACAATAAAACACGCAGAAGTATTTGAGTATGTAATTTTTTTATATGAAAATAAACTTATTACACTGTTTAAATAGTACTAGTCTAATAACGTCGTCCGACAAACCTGTTTTAAATCGTAATTCTATATTTTTTTACTTCCAACAATCTGAATTAAGTTGACACTTTCTTCTTGTCTGCTCTAGGTCTGATATGGCTTCTAGGATGTTTCCATGGTGACATTAACCCTTTACTGACAACGGAAACCGTTGCGTGGTCGTTGCCAGAGAACGACAACAACGCTTCATCATGTGTGTTATACTGTGAGAAAAAACGGTAAGTTTGTATTCGTAAATAATAACAATATTGTTAAGTCTCACAGTTTCTTGTGATTATTGAAATAAACTACAGTAAAAATGTCATATATATTATGATGATGACTTTTTTGCATTATTTAGCTTAGCATGTTGATTTAGAGTTAAGCCAAGTTTTTTAAGTTGGCTGAACATGATGGAATATTGGGATTATGGCCAAACATATTGTTAATGTTGAGGGCAATCCATCTGATAAATCAATGTATTCTACTCATTATATGTTTTTGTTTTATGACTTGCCAGTTAGTAGTAAGAACTGTTTATTGTATGCATTACTGGCTAATTTTTAGGTAACTGCTTGCTTTGATCAAAAGTTATTGATAATATGCTAATGTTAAAGTCAGACAAAGTGTTAAGCCTACCTTGGAAATGAAGTAAAACGTTTTTTTATGCACAATTATTGGAAAACATTGATCATAAAGAGTGAACTAAACATGAAAATATTTTTCTAAATTGTCAGTCATTTAAAGTATGAATTCAGTGATTTGTTTTTGGTGAAGACAGTTTTCTTGTTTTTAAGTGGAACCTCTTAAGATGACAATTTCATCTAAACTTTTGGTATTTGATTTCAGTAGGACAGTACCTAAATGAACAAGAAAAATAGCTATTTGTGGCATTTGCACTGTTTTCTCTTATTGTGGATATGAAACACTTCAAAATCCTCCTTTTGAAAATAGAAATATTGAGATATTTCCCATCATATACTAATGAATTCAATAAAAACATAGTTGGCTTCTTTCTTATGTATTTGTATTATTATTGTTATACCCTGGTGGGGAAGCAGTAGGTTTATGGACATACAATTCTAAAATCTTGGGTTCAGTTCCCTGTGGTGGACACAGCAGATATGGCTTTGCTCTAAATCAAACAAAATAATTTTTTTTTTTCTCAAATTTATAATTAAAATAAAATGTATATTAGAAATAAAGACTAAAATTAAAAATAGAACTTAATGTTCTTGATCAGTGTTATACGTTCATTCATGATCATTATATTTTGGAAATAACCAGAGAACAATTAAAATTCATTTTGTTATGTAATGTATTAAATATGATTTTGCAAAGAGCAGCTTTATTTTCTATTAAGAAAATAATTTCAATTAAATGAGAGATAGTGACATCTTCATCATGATAATGTACAATAACTGTTGTGCTTTAAAGAAACATGAACCAACAAGTAGTTTATAGTTTCATCCTTTTACAGAAGTGAGTAAAAACATCGTTTTAGTGATTAATTTTAGACTCCTTGAATAATAAAAAGCATGAAGCTTTGTATTTGAGTTTAAATTTGGAATTAGCTGATCACATGTGCCATTTCCTTAAAAATGGTATAACCAACTATAACTAAACTACCCATGAATTAGTGTTTGTATTTTATGAAGAAAGATCAATCATAACACTGTGAAACAGTAATAAGATGCTGCTGTTTCCCCTAATAGCTAGTTAGGATGTAGGCCTGCTTTATAATAAGAAATGTAACTCCATACTCTTTATGAGAAAAACTTTGGATAATTGTTTAACGTGTTCATTGACCAAAATTATGATTGTATTAAGTACGATTAAACTAATGCAATAAACACTTCTTGAAAGAATATAAATTGTGTCAAACTCCTATTCTGAAACTTGAATGAATTTTAAAAACCACATGGTCTCTGTCATGTTTTCAGATAATCACTGAAGGATATATATTATTATGAACAAATGAATAAAAGTAAAAATCTGGTATTTTTACCAAAAATTTTGTCATAATTAAATAAAGTAAAAAAATATGACAGGCAGTCATGGAATTATTACATACTAGTAAGTTAGGCTTTAGATGAATATTTTGAAAATAATATTAGACTTGGTTCCTATGTTGCAAATATTATATAATCATATTTTGCAAGGTGGTAAGACCTAAGGACTAGTGAAAATACTTGATATAATGTTAACTTACCCTTAAGCAATTTTATGATCAATTCAGCATAGGTGAATGTTATGTGTACTTCTTCCAGTGATTAGTTGTGTATCTTAGATAGTTTGAAATTCAGGTAAAATCTTATTTCTCTCTTACATATTTTGCCATTATTTATAGAAAAATGCAATATTTCATTTAAAACATTTTCCTTTATATATTTCTTTATTCGATATTACAGTAAACTTTTGAGATGTTTGAAAAAAAAGTATCATCTTCGTAAGTTTAAGATCCTGCTAGTAGTTGAAATGGTGTCTTGGGCATTTGAATTTTGAGGCAGAATTTACTATGAGAGCACCTTGACAATATTCGCTATTTGGATAATAGTCACTACATGTACTCAGTAGAATTAGGTGTAAAATTATTTATTGCTTGTTAGATAATAACCATTATAGGATTGCAGAAGCAACTGAATCAGTATTCTTTGGTTTATTGGTGAGATAACCAGTATAGGATTGCAGAATAATCTGAATCAGTATTCTTTGGTTTATTGTGAGATAACCAGTATAGGATTGCAGAATAATCTGAATCAGTATTCTTTGGTTTATTGTGAGATAACCAGTATAGGACTGCAGAATAATCTGAATCAGTATTCTTTGGTTTATTGTGAGATAACCAATATAGAATTGCAGAATAATTTGAATCATGATGCTTTGATTTGTTCTGGAATAATCATTATAGGATCCAAGAAAAAGCTAAATCAAACTACTTCTTTTATTATGTTATCTGTAGATGGAGTACTAGTACTTAATAGTTTCTATAATATGAATAGGGGATTTACATGTAAGGTTTATCTACAGTGTAGTCTATAAACTGTGAAATAACTTTATTTTAGTTAAATTTACAAATATTGTGTAGAGCTGGTCTGTTTAATTGTGTAATCAATACAAATGATTGTCTGTGGGCAGCGATTATGGAAACTAGTCAATTAATAGAAATTATGATTAAATCAAGTAGTCTCACAAAAATAATAATTGAAATTGATGTTTCCATTTATTACTATTTTTGATTATTCCGACCGTCCAAGTCATCGAAATATTGCCATTATGTTTGTTGTTAAGTACAAAGATATGTAATGGGCTATTTGTGCTCTTTCCACTGCAGGTATCAAAATCTCATTTTAGTGTTATATCTTTCGTTTTTTACTTTATTATTGTCCAGCTTGGAGCCAGCATGGCTTGGTGATTTGGGAGTGGGGGAGGGTTAGTTCCTCATAACTCTATATGTTTCAGGTTCGATTCCCATTGCCACCAAAGTTACATGCCTTGTCTTTGTTGTGGCAAAGCTACTAAGGGTATCTACCACTGTGACCAGAGCTGTAACCAGTCATTTTTGCACCCTGGGCAAGTTTCCAGTTTGTATAGTTCAGCATGAATTATTGAATAACAGGCTTAGTGCTGGCTGCGCTCTGGGCAACTGCCTCCCCCCTGCCTTAGCTATGGCTCTGACTGTGACTGATTTTGAATTGTTGACTAGAGGGAAGGCAACTGGCTGGCAGCACCAAATGCCAATTCTTTGACTACTCTTTTATTAACGAATTAATAGTGTAGTTTACTGTCACATTACAATGCCCCCCATGGCTGAAATAGTGAGCATGTTTGGTGCTGGGTTTTGATCCCATGACCCCCAGATTGCAAGTTATGTGACATGAATCACCCAGTTTGCTGATCAGAAAACCCCCAGTGGCTATTATTATACGGATACATTATATAGATAGGCTAGTAGTGTCAAAGTGTTTACAAGAGGTCAAAATGTCGAGAATTAAATAACTCTGGAAAGACTACTGCATGACTAACTTAACTCGTTAGCATTGTAAAGCAACAAACAAATCCAGAAATCAAATTTGAAATAAATTTTGAGCAATTTTATCGTCTCCTCTTTAGCAATATATGAACGAGAATCATCAGCACTCCCAATAATATCCGGTGCCATTTTACACCGTGAAGAGCTCGTCAGCACAAGAGTCTCGATCACTGGTTGTTAATTTTGGCAAACATTTAGATCCTCTTCACCCAGTTTTAAAGTAATTACTGAATATGGTTTGTAGGTATGCAGATGAATAATTCAGTTATAAACGTATGCTAAATGTGGGGGATTGTGATGGTTTTATGGTGTAGGTTGCAGTGGATGTGAGGTATATATGTAAAATGTCAATGCATCTAAATGCCCACAGATGTAAGAAATATATAATATGAGAGACAAGTGCCATGACCGATTTTTTATATTTTTTTTCTGGTCGACAAGCTGAGGTATTTTTCCAGCAGAAAATCCCACCAGGTCCTGTCACAAAGCACACGTACACACAGTATCTTTGGAGCCATTTGGAGAAGTAATTTCGAATGGTTATACAATGTTTCCAGCCATCCTCAACTAGCAGAACATTGAAAAACTAAACAAACCGCACCCGTCTGAACTTAGCTGAAAGCCTGTTGTCTTGCAGGATAGAAGCAGTTATTCAGGCCAAGGACTGTGCTTCACTGCATAACGAGAGGGATCATGGGCTTCGTATTTTGTTGTCATGAATCATTCCTATATCTTGCTGTACTTTGAGGTCAAAGTCTTTCATATAATGAAGAACGAAGGGAACTCGGAAAAGTTTAATATACTTCGTAAATGTCGTACATGTTTTGCACCTTTTACTTTACTTAAAAAAAATCTAAATTAAATTTAGGTGTCAAACATATATTCACGATATTACTATTTTTTTGTTTTTGTGTTGGACCAAGGAAACGATATATAGTATTCACCAGTACTTGTCTCTCAAACTGTCTTCAACTTTCGTAAATTTTTGTCTATGTCTTCCGTGTCACAAATCTTCCTGAAATTTGTATTACCAGTCCTTTGAACAATATCATGAATCTGAATATTTATTATGCATCTTTTGTAAAAGCTCACTTTAACGAATTTCGAAAAGAACGTGTCTATAATAACAGAAAAACGAACCTGGGGAATATTGCGGTACACCAGAATTTTAAGAACATTCATATAATGTGCAGTTTCCACATGTCT